CAAGTTCTTAACATACCTTTGCAGAGACCATATCATTTCTCTTGGCAGCCTCCCTAATGGCTTTCTGCACATTTTTCTCTTCCCTCTGTATATCTGACCCAAACCCATCAGAAAGAACATAAATCGAATCAATCATTTTACATCTTTACAGAATTATAAGGGAAAACCCATAAAGAATTTTTAAAAGAATCCCTAAATCTAGAAGCTGAATTCATCGCATGATTATAATTTCCACCAAGATTGAAATAGAAGAACGATGATATTTATCTTTACCTCGAATTTGGCGCTCGACGTTGCGGCACTCTTGTCGGAGCCTACGCTGCCAATCCCTCAGCTGCTGCTGCGGATTTGCTTTGGGCTTCAACATACTCATCATTTTCTCCATCTCTCTCCTTTTTTTCTATCAGAAATTTCGAAATCCAAGAATTCTGTGCTTCCTCCAGGGAAAAGATCAATCGAATCTAAGTCAATTGAGCAGCCTCAAGAAGCTGTAAGGATCAAAGCCCGGAAATTATTTCGTCAAGGTGTAGTCAGGGCTGAAGAAAATTCCAAGTTTTTCCGTCGATGGGCGATCAACTGACCATATGAAGAATCTAAATACATAAACGACATGTCGGCCACTGAAAAAGAAAAAGAAAACAAAGAAAAAAAAATATGGCAAATTACACTCGGTAGATTTGTTTCTATTTAGTCTCTCAAATTTCAGTTTTCATTTAATCCCTCAAATCTCAAAAAATGACACTTTTAATTCTCAAGTTTGGATTAAAAAAAACATTTTTTGTTCCCTTAGGTAATTGATGTGGGAGTTAATACACTAAATGAATGTTTAAATGGAATGAGAGATCCTTATCGGTGACAAGGTCATTAACTTTTTCTAGGAAGTTTTCACTCGATTGAGAATAATGATGTAGATCCACTAACAATGACGTAAGGACAGTAATTCAAGTCAACATGTTAATTATCAAGTCATTTTTTCGTTAAATCAACAGATAGTTAACCCAACTTAAGGATTAAGTATAAGCCAAATCTAAAAGTGGTGTGAGATTTTTATAATCTTATAAATTAAATTCAAATTTCAAGAGTCAAAATTGTTAGTTTGGAAATTTCAATGACCAAATAGAAATCATATCAAAACTTTGAGGACTAAAAGTGTAATATGTCAAAAAATACAAACATGCAAGTTTGAATTCATTTTGGTCACTTAACTTTTAAAATGTTTATTTTGGTCCTTGAACTTTCACCTTTGTTCCATTTTAGTTTTGAACTTTCAAAATGTCTATTTTAACATTTACAACCTTTCAAAAATAACCCTTAATTTCGATTCTTATCTTTATTTTGTTTTTAACAAATTAATGATATAGCTCCGAGTGGTCTACTAACATATTAATGAGGACGTGTGTTCAAGCCATACTAGTTGGAAGTAGGCATTGGGCAGCATACAATAAGTGGCAAAATAATATAACAAGGACCAAAAATTGTTATTTTTCAAAAGTTATGGACTAAAGTAAATAGTTTAAAAGTTCAAAGACCAAAATGAAACAAACCTAAAAATTGAGAGACTCGAATGAATATTTTGAAAGTTTAAGGCTAAAATGAAACAAACTAAGAATTAAATGCCCGTTTGATAATCATTTCGTTTTTTGTTTTTGGTTTTTCCTTTTTTAGTTTTTGGTTTTTGGTTTTCTGTTTTTAAAAAACAAAAACTATATATGTTTGATAACTATTTTTTGTTTTTTGTTTTAAAAAAATTAGAAAATTGAAAATACATGAGAAAATTATATGTCAAGTAGAGATGACAATGGTGTAGGTGCGAGTGAGGATGCTCTCCCATTCTAATGTTCGGTAAAAAATTTTAGTCTCCGTCTCCATCTCGTTATTCGGTTCGATAGATGTTCTTGAGAAAAGTTATCAGTTTTATAATTGTTTTTAGTTATTTTTAGCATTTAAGTATAAAAAAAGTGTAATAAATAAATATTAATTATTTAAAAAATGGAATTGGGAACAGGATCGAGACATGCATTTCCTATTTTTGGGCTCAACTCTATGGAAATTTTTTAGAGAAAATAAATAAATGCAAAGATAAATAATAGCTACATTGAAAGAAAATTGAACGAAAAAAAATATAATTTTCAGAGAAAAAAATAGATTACGAAGAGAAAGAAAAGTTATAAAAGACGAAATTTTAGAGAGAAAAAAGTTAAGACAAATATTAAAATTTTAGAGAGAGAAATGAAACTGGTTTGTTAGAAAACAAAATAAAAATACAAAAATACAAAAAATTTGGAGAGAGAGCAATAATAATAAATATTCAAAATATGAAAATTTTAGAGAGAGAAGAGTAAATTTTGTAGAGAGAAATTTAGAAAAAAAAAATTAGGATGAGAAAGAAATTTTTTAGAGATAAATATTAGAAAAAAATGAGTATTAAAAGAAAAAACCAGATTTTGAAAAACATAAATAGAATTTCAAAATGGTTTTTGAAAAGCCAAAAACATAAAATTGAATTCGTTATCAAATAACACTATTTTGAAAAAACTAAAAACTAAAAACTAAAAATAAAAAACGAAATGATTAACAAAAGGTTTAAGGATCAAAATTAGAACTTAAACAAAAAAAAAATAAACATCTCTTTTTCCAGTTAAATATAACTTGTCTCAAGAATGGTAGATTTTCATTTAAAAACAAAACTCAAATGTCATAAAATAAATATGTATTTTCGAATACACCAAACGAGGGAGAAGGATATTTTTAAAGTCATTTAAGAAATATCATAAAATAAATATGTATTTTCGAATATAGCATTAAATTTTAAATCTCTGGCTTATTAAAAATAAAACTCAAATTTAAATGTAATATACGTTTTTTACGTTGAATTCTACCCATCCAAGAAAGCACTCTCTTCTTACCTAAACGCTTACATAGATCGAGTTATGCGAAGGAAAACATGTTTATAAGGAGTGAGGGTCCTTTTATGGGCAAATGGGAGGAGACCGGCCCTTCTTTTATAGTCATTCCATAAAACAATTACATAATTGTTGCAGGTCGTTACGCCTCGATTGGTCGGATAGATAGACAATCGAAATCATGGCTTATTGAAGTCGATTTTAGTTCTTCTTGAGTTACATAGGTTGACCTCTTTAATAAGTTGAATTATGTCTCTCAATCTATCTTCGTTGGTCCACGCGGCCTGTCAGATTTTGTCCTCCAATAATGGGCCTAGTTTCATGTCAATGTTGACTTGCTTCTCGAGACTTAGTAGTGGCACAAGCTTTAGCGCTTTTAATAGTATAGCTTGATTTAGGTAGAATGATTTTTCTTCAGCTCATCTTGCTCAGTGATGGTTGCACATATTGTTGAACCCTTAAGGTCGGTTGCATAACATTCTCCTAAAGTCTTCTACTCACCTTGAACCAAGCCAACGCCATTTGAAGTTGGGTATTTCAATTGGGTATTTCACCTTGTCCTGCAAGGCATGAATTATAGATCGACCAAAGATGGCATTATAAGCCGATCTCTCGCGATGACTATGAACTCATCAATCTTCATGACTTGGGCATCACCCTGACCAAGAGTAATAGACAATTTTATGCAACCTTTCGATGTGACACTATCTCTAGCAAAGTTGACCAATGGAGTTGGGCTTTTCCTTAATTGAGCTCTACTCCACCCTAAAGCTATGTAACTTGTAAGAGAAAGAACATTGGTACATCCACCACCGATCGAAAACTGTCAAACTACAGTGTGATTGATCATGCGGGTTATGATCAGGGCATCATTATGAGGCTAATGAATGCCTTAAAAGTAAGTCAGAGAATGAGATAAGGCATGTCGCCGACTCACTTGCAAAGTGTATACCTCGAACTTTCCTTTGGAGCCTCCAAAAATTATGATGATCATTGAAGGTTGGTATGTCTGGTGAGGTGGCGACCTTGAATGCTCACGAGGTTGGTTATTTTTTTGCCTTTAATTTGTTGGGGCATAGCTTTCGGACCTCTTGCCAACGTACTTCTTAAAGTACCATCCGTTAATCAAAGTCTCGATTTGGTGCTTCAAGTCGAAGTAGTCTGACATAACATGCATCTTTGTGAAATCAACAATATTTAGTCTTATCATGTTTGTTGGGGTCTTACCTCAGTTTGTTCGACTGTTTGAGGAGTTCCTCAAGGCCGTTCTCTTTAATGTTGGCCAATATGTCAAATATCTTCACATTGGTGGGGTAAACTTCTTATACTGTCGACCTCGTCTTGTTCCTTGGTTAGAGCGCCTTTGGTCATCTTAACCTGGCATTGAGGTCGAGTTATTAGTCTTCCCCTTTGGCTTGGTCGGTTGAGTAGACTTGTTGTTTCTCTCGTACTTGATGTTTCACTACTTCAATATAATGGGATCCAGGTCAACATTGGTGAGCTGAAAAGAGTCACCATCTTGTGAGACCATATTAAAGATCCCACATTGAAAATATAAGAGATCTAACAAATTTTTATAATATACATGGGTTTATTCCTCTCAATGTCAATTATTTTTTTAGATGGAACCCATGAATACTTATATGGTATCAGGACCTAACAAGCTCAAATGAACTCTCAATGCAAAATTGGGATCCAGGCCAAGATTGGTGAGCCAAAAAGAGTCATTATCTGTAAGGGGCATGTTAAAGATCCCACATCGAAAAGATCAAGGGTAGCTTCTTGACGTCAATATACTTTTTAGCTCGATTCAGAACCTCATTGAAGGTTGTTGGTGGCTTCTTACCCAAAGACTAGATCAAATCTTTGTCCTAGAGGCCTAAGATAAAAGAGGACATAGTTGTGTCATCCGAGCAATGAGAAACTTTTATTTGCTCGTCCTTTGAAGCGGCTGACATAGTCTTTCAAAGACTCTCTTTCCTACTGGTAAATTGTAAGTAAGTGAGTTACCAACCTTTTTTAGTGATGTCGGGATGGGAATTAGGTGATGAACATCTTTTCCTACTGCTTATAGTTCAAAATGAACTTTGGTTTCAACTATCGATACCAAAGCTACACCAAGCCTGCCAATATGATTCGAAAAGCTCGGCATTAAAGGCATCGCCGACATCCTGGAAGTCTATCAGGCCTTTAAAATTTTTGACATGGTTGACGAGGCCACCTAAGTCGTCATACATATCTTAAAGGTCGGCATCTTGCTTTACACAAGATTGGAGTATCAAGGATATCTTGACCGAAGGGTAGCTTATCTTGTTTATCGTCTTCGTCGATTGAGATATTTTTGCCCTCATATTTCTTTTTGAGATCTTTCATCTCACCTTCGAACTTGTCCTTCATTTTATCAAACTGATTAGAACGCACAATTAGATCTTTAGGCTGATATATGTCTACGTTGTTACCCATTTCCTTACTCTTAGCCTTTGTTTGGTCATTAAATGTGTTTTTGAGGTCTCTCGGGAGGGGCGTCTGACCTCACACTAGTGATGGTGATCGTTGAGCTCGACCATTAAGGATATTCTAGAGATCGTGCAGGTTCTTAGTAGAGTCATGACCATGCCTTGGGCGAGTACAACGTGTTTGGCTGTCCTTAGGATGAATAGCATCCTCTAGTCAACGTCTACATAATCTACTCGGGATTACACGGCCTATTCAAGTTCGACCGATCCTGGCTGGTGCAAGGTTGAGTTTGTCCTAAGTTCAACCACTATTATCTTCTTCCACAAGAAGGGTCTAATCGATTTGGACTAGTATAAGGGCTTTATTCACCTCGGTTTGCCTTAGGTTGTGATAAATTTGCTCCATTGCTTCCGTTCGCGCCCACATATAATTCATCACTGCTTGCATAATTATATAGAAGCACGTCAGAGTTCACTGGACGAATAGTATTTTGTCTTGTTCGGCCAATTTGACCTCATTTACCCTGGATTGGTGGTCACCCTTGTGGTGGTGGATGAGTTCTAAAAGCTGAGTTTCAATGTGTCCAAACTTTGATGTTTGCGAGGACATGCAGAACAATCATCGAAAATGCCTAGAGCAAGAGAATCTTGCAGTGTTGGAAGATCTAGGAGAGCTAGAGGGTCGACCCAATTGCTTCGGCTGCTAAACCCTTAAGAATCAATGCGAGTAATAGCTAAGGTAGGGATGCCTTTGTTTTAGTGTCTCCCCACAAACGACGCCAAATATTTATGTTGAATTCTACCAACCCAAGAAGATCGACGTCTTCTTACTTAGACAAGCTTACGTGGAGCAAGTTATGCAAAGAAAGACCTAGTTATGAGGAGTAAGGGTCCTTTTATAGGTAGATGAGAGGAGACCATTCTATTTTAACCGTTCAATAAAACGTCACATGATTGCAAGCAGTTACACCTCAACAGGTCAGATAGATTGAGTCAAGTGTACAATATATCAAATAGGCTCTTGCGAAAAACTCTAGTGCTCCATACCCATTTGCTCCCATTCAAGTTCTAACTTAAGCATTGAAGTACAATCGACAAACACCACACTGATGTTAGATTTCTGTGTGTAGATCCAACTAGAACTTGAGAAAGAAGACTTATGTGACACATACGTGGCACTTGCTTAGAAATCGATATCAACAGTTATTGTGAAGATTGTTGTTAACCTCAAACCATTAAAACCCATTAAACCAACAAAAAAAAATTATGATCTCTCATTGTTTAAAGAAATAAAAGTATTTAAAAGGATACCCTTTCCACTCGCCCCACCTACAATACATGCATTTAGAATGTATATCCCTGACCACTTTTAGCTCTACATCAAAATATAAACATTTTTCAGGTCTTGTTAGAGAAACAACGAACTTCCTCCAATGCAATAGTATAATATTATTCATATTAAACATAGGCTTTCATAACTTATACCATGAAGATATCATCTCTCACTTATATACCATGATTTCTCCTCATCTAATCAATGTGAAACTTACATCGCATTCCTATGAACATATTTTGAAGTTAATTCTTCTACCAGGTTATGTATATGTCTTCAATATTGAGTTCCCCACAAAGTTTTAGTATGGTTGCGGGGAAAAGTGAGATTGCCATGAAGTGAAAAATGGGAAGAATCATATTTAATTTTTACTTTCCATTTTCTAAATGCTGGCCGCCATGAATGAACACATGTCAGAGGAAAGGAGTGGAAAACAGCTCAATCGGAGTGGACCATGATCTGAACTTAGACCACCGGAGAGCCCGACAATATTACTCGTACCATTCATAGCCATATATTGTTCACAAATATTTTGTTTCAACAAGAAAATAATAATAATTAATAATAAATTACAAAATTTTCCATCTAAACTTTCTTTTTTATGTCTAATATATTATACATCTTTCAAAATTTAAATTTATGAGTTAAACAAGATTCAAATTCAGGATCAAGTCCTCATGCGTTGCTCTTACGTTTAGATCATTTTTTGAAACTCACCATTATTTTGTGGAAACATACCGACATGGCTGGGTTATGGACATGGCTCTATATCATGCTTGTTAAGGAGAACGGACCCTCCAATCTCCATGGTTGTGCTATTATCCTCTTTAGACAAAGTCTTCATAACTTTGCTTTTGGTTTCACAAAAAATGTCTTATTGATGAGGATGATGTCCCTCGATTGTATACCAATGATTTTTTTCGTTAATTTAGCCAATTTGCAACTTTGGTCTTATTCTCAACAAATATCGTTAGCTATATGTTTTTTTTAGTACAACATTTGTGAGGAGAGGGAAGTCCAACTTCCAAGATATCGATCTATTATGCACCTCGCCCTTTGTATCTAGCATTAGGTTGATCTCATACAACGATCGTCCTAACTCAACCGCCGTATTTTTTGTTTTATCTCTTCTAGAACAATCATAAACATTGTTTTGATTATGAGCCTACTCCCAGAAATTCCATGTGTAATCTTAGAATTCAATGCGTATTCCTAAATAATATGATCTCCACATCTGTATTTTAAATATGCAGTCACAAATAACCCAATGGACCTAATACGATTTCAGGAAAGAGTTAGATGTCTTAACTACTCAGTTAATTACTACCTAAATAATACTTCAAAAATCAATTTTAAGTGTTTATGTCTTTCTAAAATCAATTTTTTAATTTACCAAGCATGATCAATGAAAATGGGGTGATTTTGACAATGGCAAAAGTGATTTTGTAATGTCAAAATCACTCCTAAATACACCTTAATTATTCTCGAGTAATCATGAGCTCGGGTGTAATAATTCTGCAGATCCAATGCGTTGAAATCTAGAGGGTGTTGAGGTATAAGTTGAAGATCTGTTGTGGTCCTGTGTTTAGTTCACGAGTGCGTAGGGAGCTGCACCCAAAGCCAAAAGACAATTTAGGCTCACGAGTCATTCTCTGTTTTTGCCCTTTTGCATTTTGCAACATACAACACAACAACTAAATTAATTACCTCTTTCAAATGTAATATCCAACACAGTTTTCTTCTTTAGTTTTGATATTTGTTGGGATTTCTCATATATTAATGAAAACAAAATAAAATATAATAAGTAGCTTCTTATAATTGTAAGAGACCAAAAAAAAAAAAAAGTAAGACTTTAATAGACCCAATTTTCTAAATGAATAATGTGTTACCAGCTAAGATACGAGAGGCTTCAATAATTATACGTCCAAAACAACCTTTGAAGAAAAGAATATTAGTGGATATGAGAGTGAATTTTATTTTGCAACCAACTGGTTTTATCTTTGTTACCGTAATGGAGCAAATTCAACGTTCTTCCATTCAAGAGAATTTGTTACATTAAGCATCATCAAAATTTTTAGTTGCAACAATGTTGTCTTTTAGATTTCCACGAGTTAGAGTTAAAAAGAACAGAGAGTAGGAAGTTATTCCTGAAGATCCTAAGTATTCTTTTCAAAATATGGTTCCCACTCGCACATAAGCACGTGTTATATATTTTGAAGTGCACAAACAAATACTAAGGTCTTTAGAAGTTGATATCTGTTAAAAAAAACATGACTTCTTTTTAATCCAAACTGTAAAAGTAAAATGATTACTTAAATGTATATTTTTTCCCATCCAA